TTCTATCTTAAAATTTGTCCATATTAATACATTTGTATCTTGCTGTTTCTTTATACTTGTACTTGTGTATCTGGCTGTTTCATTATACGTATTCATATGTACTTCACTGTTTCTTTGTTCATACACATGTATCTTATGATTTTGTATATATATATATATATATATATATATATATATATATATATATATTATTTTGTTTTCATCTGCACTTGTTCACTCACACCTTCTCGTACATAGCCACATACATGACAATTAAGTACTACGTTTCTTGAATTTCATTAATTTTTCGTCCAAGCCAACGTTTTCAGCATTTTAAACCTTTCGAAGATCCTGTGCGTAAAGAAAATGCTTTAGAAAAAAAAAAGGTGACATTCATAATAATGATTCTCTGCAGAAGAAATATATTTTTCCTTTAAAAGTATTTTTTCTATAATCAAATATATGAAATACAACCAGCTCCCAAACAGCAGCAATAATATTATACGGAGACTTCAACATTTTAATGACAGAAAAAATATCCTTCTCCCAGAGAAAACAAAAAGACCCCCCCCCAAAAAAAAACAAAAAAAAAAAAAAAAAAAAAAACGATTTTTTTTTCAGACTTCTAAAGGCAGATGCTGATAGGTATAGTCTTCACTAGTGAAAATGGCTCAGGCACGGTGGAGTAATGGATAGCGTCTTGGATTGAGGTATCGGTAGAGCCGAGTTCGAATTCCAGTCGAATCCATTACATTCACTTACGATACTTCCTTGGGAAAGGTGTGAATCCTCTTTCTTCTCCCTCCAGCTATGGGTAAATAGCAGGACAGACTGGGTTCTATAGCCTTGGATAGCAACTGGTCTAGGAGAAGGAAAACTCTGAATTCAAACCTGCTCTTAGAGTAGGGTGGATGGAGTCTCTCTCAGACCTGGTTGGCAATCCATTTAGTGATGGTGTCACGATAAAAACACCCTTGACAGCCCTAGGGAAGCATTAAGAATTCAGCTACTTGACATGATTATAAACTACATCAATCAAAGTATTAGTGAGTTCAATCTCGGCTGAGGCCGCAAGATGATGTGTTGGCTCAACCAGCTTCATTGAAAAAATACCTTGAATGTTTTTGGTAATGAGGCCTGCCTCATGATAAGCCATATCTTATGCAACCCACTAGTCAGAGAAGGTTGCCCATGCTTATTTTATTTGATTTCCAAGTTTATCTTTTATTTTGTTAAATTACCAAGATCAACACACAAAAAAAAACCCTGACAAGATACATTTCCAGACATTTTTCCACCCTTGAAATCTCTCAATCAAATTCTTACTTTTTCCCCAATAGCCAACCCCTAATCAAACCTCATCCCTCCCATCATTTTAACAATGTTTGTTCATTCACTGAGGGGAATGATTAAATACAATATTTATTGAATTTTACTAACTTTCGTTCAAGGTAACGTTTTCAATATTTTAAACCATTGGCGATTTTCACTAAGGAAGATCATACGTGTAAATATAATTCATTTTCGAAACAGTAAACATTAAATAATATTAATAATTCTCTAGAGAAGACATCTTTGAAAAAAATATTTTTTGTGTAATGAAACGAATGAAATAAAAACAAATCTTACGCAGTACCGATAATATTACGAAGACTTTAAGTTTTTAATTATAAAAAAACGGAAAAAGAATTTCCCCCCATTTCTTAGACAGATGCATACGCGTTTGGTCTTTTGTAGCGAAAATGGCCGAGGTGCGTTTAATGAAAAATTACCTTAGGTCTTTTTGGCAGTTCGGCCCGCCTTATCTCATGCGGGCCACTGTTTGGACTATTAGTGACTATTTTTTATCGATCGCCTTCGATTTTCTATATACGATGACAAAAAGTCACTTTTTTATCCAATGTCGGGCAATCAAATTGTAATATTTGGGATTTAATTTAACCAAAATAAAAAGCACAGACTGATTACTGTAAATCGTCACACACACACACACACACACACACACACATATATATATATATAGATTAACCTCTATCTCAAGAATGTATACGTATATATAGCTGGCCACTCGTATTCGAGGGCTGCTATTGCAGACGTTTGCACATGCGCAATTGAGTTTATTTAACATCCAAAGAAACCACTTGTGGTTTAAACTGCAACTATGCTGAGCAGACTTTAGGAAAGAGCGTGTTATGCAGCGTGATCAACAAGGCCAGCAAACTCAAGCTCTCGGCCACGATGACTTGTGGCTTCGTGCTAGCACAGCTATTGACGCCCAAAACCCCCAAGGGTTTCATCTACCCAATTCACTTTTCATTTTGCTAGGGTCAAAGTTTCCAAAGGTTTCTCCAGTCCGATAAAATTAGGATAAAATTAAATTTTCTTTTCATTTTTTGTTTGGAAGTAAAGTATGATGATCCGCAGTCCTTTTAAAAGGGCTGTGGTGAAATAATTTATTACATGGAACTTTAAAGTGGTCTGTTTTATTTAAATTATATATATATATATATATATATATATATATATATATATATATATATATATATATATGCGGAAACGTCATATAGACTGACGTGCTTTTAACTGATTTGACCAGAGGAGCGTTCGGTTACAAAGGTCGATTTTACTGTCTTTAAACTATAATCTTCCATGAATCTCTCACGTACATTCATATCTGCTATATAAGCGTATCCAAATGTAAACAAATAACATCACACATTATGAAATGGACAAAGTCCGACAATTATTTTAAGACATTTTTATGTTTATACATTCTTTTTTATAGATACAAATATTTAAGTAAATGCTCTGTTTTATAATAAACAGTATTAATAACATTTACCGCCCTGAATGTCCTAGAAATTTTTATAGAAAATAAAATAATTGTCGGAATTTGTCCATTTCATAATTTGGAAGATTGTAGTTTAAAGACAGTAAAATCGACCTTGCTAATCGAACGAAGGCATGGGCTTCCAGGAATCCCTTCAATGAGCTTTCTAATCATTCGAAGAGACCCAGCTACAACCGACATAGATAAAGCCCTTTGTAAGGTGTAGGCTGTACTAGTGAGAACAATTTTTGTATTTCTTTAAGGCATGGGCTACCAGGAATTCCTTCGATGAGTCTACTGGAATCGTTTCTAACCAATCCGAGGGCTCCAACTACGACAGGAATTGTTGATGTTCCCATAATGCCCACATTATTATTATTATTATTATTATTATATTTGGTAATCACTGAAAACATTTTAAGCCAAGTGTGCCCTTACCAATTAGGCTACTGGGAAGCCATCATAATTAGCAAAGGCGCTCTCAGCTTAAAGTGGTTTCTGAATTGAAAAAAATGAAAACGATTTCTGTCAACATTTTACATTTTTTCTTTAGTCAGGCTCCTCGTGATCTAGACTGGTAGACATTAATTTCGCAGTTTAAACAAAAACAGGTATGTTTACCCAAACATGTGTACTTCATAAATATGATGTTTACAATAATGTTGGATTACAGCATCCATTAAAAGCTTATATACATTAGAATAAAAAGTTAACGGATAAATATATTATTATTTATTATTTATTTTGAATGTCTCATGGTGGTACTGTTGTTCTTTGGATACCTTGCATACCATGGAAGAGACTTCCTGTCAAGTCCTAGCAAGGACCTCAGACACACCGTACTTTTCGAAGTTTGCTTTCTGTACCCAAAAAGGCAGATTTTTGTAGCGTTTACGAGGTGTATTTTTACACCAAAATGCTCGACATATTCATTAAACTTCAATAGGATGTCGCCAAATGCTCTAATCACCATTGCGGTGACTAACTTTTTTTCTTCGGCATTTTCCACAATCTGACAATCGTAACCCTCAGTTCAGAGTATTAATTGATCTTTTCGGGTTGCTTTGCTCTTATATTTTAATTGATCTTGACCTATCAAATAGTCAGTATTCATTTTTAGTTGTGTTGAGAACAATGTTATCTGTTTTTCGCTGTTCAATAATTTATTATTATTATTATTATTATTATTAGTAGTAGTAGTATCAGTAGTAGTATTAGTAATACCTATTCTTTAGAAGAATATACATTAATTGAATTGGCGGTCAGTTATGTGCCGTGCATGATACACGCTTAGGTGATCATGTATCTTTCGATACATGACTGACGAGGCAGATTTTTCCCGCGGTAGGTTGGCATTTCTTTCTGCGGTAGAACAGTTGTCATCCAAGGCTATAGAACCGAGTCTGCCCTGCTATTTACCCATAGCTAGTGGGGTGGGTATAGGAGAAGAAGAGGTGTTATACCTTTGCCAAGGGTATTAGCACGTAAGTGAATGTAATGGATTCGACTTGAATCCTCAATCCGAGCCGCTATGCATTACACCTGGTCGAATTGACGGCAGTAAATTGTAGTCAGTAAGTGATAGGTATTTAATGCTTAAAGTTTCATTAGAGTCACGTTATAATTCGAATCGTCACAGGTTATCTATACGCATTATTTGTTAGTTTTGCCCGTGTCCGTATTTTTACTCCTGGAAAAGCTAAAAAAAAAAAAAAAAAACAAAGCAAAAAAAAACTTTGGCCATTTTGTTAATATATAAGACTGAGCAGATGAAAACAAATGTTAACAAAAAGACCAGTCATCGTTTTGTTTCTAGTGACGAGAAAAGTGTAAGTAAAGCACTTATCCTTTCTAGAACTTCATAAGAATTGACCCGATTTTGAGTGCTATTCTTAAAATATTGAACAATAACAAAAAAAAAAAACAAACAAACAAAAGAAAAACTCCCGCTCATACCAAAAAAGGAAAAAAAATAATATAAAAAAAAACAAAAAAACGAAAAAGACTTGAAGTGTCTCTCTACAAGCGATATCCGTATGAACAGTTTTGAAGGGTTTGGCTATTAATGGCGTCGGCAGCGTATGTTACCGATAGGGGGCACTCTACCGCAAAAGCGTGTCTCCCTACTGTTTGCATTATGCGCCGATTAACTCGTATTAAAAAGTGTTTTTATTGTTTGATGAAGTTAGGATCAAGAGGCGGGGACAGAAAGGGGAATGGGCGGAGGGTAATTGAAGGTTGACGGTGGAAGCGGGTGAATGGGGATTGTGACAATGAAAAGAAAGAAAGTAAGACCCAGAGAATGAGAAGAAGGAGAGAAAAAGAATGTCAATAGTAAGAAGAAGGGAAAGAAAGAAAGAAAGAAAGAAAGAAAGAAAGAAAGAAATAGAAAAGGCGAGAAAAAGAATAGGTAAAGAGAAAGAAAGAAAGAAAGAAATAGAAAAGGCGAGAAAAAGAATAGGTAAAGAAAGAAGGGAAGCAAGGGTTGCAGATAGACATGAATAGGCTAAGAAATAAAGAGATAGAAAGGGGGGAATATATATATATATATATATATATATATATATATATATATAGAGAGAGAGAGAGAGAGGGGGAGAGAGATAGACTGCGTGTATATGGGAGAGGAGAGTGTATTGAGGGGAAGAAGCTAGCAACGTGACTAAATAGATGGATGTCTTTCTCAAAGAAAAAGAAAAGAAAGAAAAGAAAAGAAAGAAAGGGAAGCAGACAGACATGGATAGGCTAAAAAATATAGAGAGATAGAAACAAAGCAAAAAAGGGAAATAGATAGATAGATAGATAGATAGATAGATAGATAGATAGATAGATAGATAGATAGATGAAAAATGAAGGAGAAATGGAAAAAAACAGAAAAATGATGGAAAATGGAATGGATGACGTTAAAATAAGAATAAGTGTTGAAAATGAAGGGGAAATGTTAAATAAAGCGGATAAAGATGTAAAATGAAAGAGAAATTTAAAAAAAATTGAAAATGGAAGAGAAATGAAGGAGAAATGGCAAATAAATACGCAAATTACAGAATAAACAAAGAGAAGAAATCACGATAAATATTGTGAAGGATGTTGGTAGGTGATATTTGATGAAAGACGTATTTGACAGACAGACTGTCAGAAAAGGAAAAGGAAGGAACAAAGAAGACATAGCATGCTTTGAGTGTGTTCGTGAAGGGGTGTAATGGATGTGTAAGAAAGATAAGGTGGAAATAAAGAAAGACTAAGGTGAGAAAAAAGTAAAACTCTACAAGAGTCGGTGAGATGAAAAGATGAGAGAGAAATGATTTTGCAAATGGATGCCGGGTGTGAAGTAAAAAGAGTCACTTCCGCTTCAATGGCTTTGCCGTCGGCTCCTGTTGAACAAGCGACTCAAAAATAAATAAATAAAAAAAAAAGAGAGCGTTTTGATATAGATCTATTGGCCGCGAGGAGGTGTCGCGCCGATTAGATGCTGGTGGCCATCATGTGATCAGACGAAAGATGTCCACTTCAAATTCTGTGTAGATATAAATTTTCGGTGATAACATATTTATCTTTATTCTTAGTTTTCGCTCTTCTTTATGGAGATTTAATTCTATCGTTCTCAGTTTTAATTTACATCCCCTTCTCTTGTAGTTATCCGGCCGGCTCTCCATTCATCTCCGTTATCACAACTTCAATTCGATTGTTTTGTTTTTTTTGTTTTGTTTTTTTTTTAGTGAGAATATCAGCTTAAACATGGCGAGATGTGTAATTTTGCGCATTCTCAACCATAATGTTTTTATTTATCTCAGGATATGGCTATCTATCTATCTATCTATCTATCTATCTATCTATCTATCTATCTCAATCTGTTTATATCTATCTCAGTCTTTTCATATCGATCTCAGTCTGTTCATATCTATCTATCTATCTATCTATCTATCTATCTATCTATCTATCTATCTATCTCAATCTGTTTATATCTCAGTCTGTTCATATCTATCTATCTATCTATCTATTCATATCTATCTATCTATCTCAATCTGTTTATATCTATCTCAGTCTTTTCATATCTATCTCAGTCTGTTCATATCTATCTATCTATCTATCTATCTATCTCAATCTGTTTATATCTATCTCAGTCTGTTCATATCTATCTATCTATCTATCTATCTATCTATCTATCTATCTATCTATCTCAATCTGTTTATATCTATCTCCAGTCTTTTCATATCTATCTCAGTCTGTTCATATCTATCTATCTATCTATCTATCTATCTATCTATCTATCTATCTCAATTTGTTCATATCTTCTATCTATCTATCTATCTATCTATCTATCTATCTATCTATCTATCTATCTATCTCAATCTGTTTATATCTATCTCAGTCTTTTCATATCTATCTCAGTCTGTTCATATCTATCTATCTATCTATCTATCTATCTATCTATCTATCTATCTATCTATCTCAATTTGTTCATATCTATCTATCTATCTATCTATCTATCTATCTATCTATCTATCTCAATATGTTTCTTGGGAAGGGTATGAATCCTCTTCTTCTCCCCCCCACCAGGTATGTAATAACTAAGAAGTTTGAATTGAAAATATTTTAAATTTAAAACATAAACACGAATAGATAGATATGAACAAACTGAGATAGATATGAACATATTGAGACAGATAGATAGCAAGATAGATAGCTAGCTA